TATCCATGAGCAAGGTATGTTTTTCCACTTATGCAGGTCTCTTTTGGTTTCTTGCAGTAGTGTCTTGTAGTTTTCATTGTATAGGTCTTTTACTTCTCTGGTTCGATTCATTGCTAAGTATTTTATCCTCTTGGTGGCTATTGTAAATGGTATTGATTTGGTGATTTCCTCTTCGAAGTTCTCTTTGTTGGTGTAGAGAACCCAGCTGATTTTTGTATATCTATCTTATATCCTGATACTTTGCTGAAGTCTTCTATTAGTTGCAGCAGTTTTTGTGTGGATATTTTGGGGTTTTCTGTGTATAAGATCATATCATCTGCAAATAGAGATACTTTCACTTCTTCCTTACCAATTTGGATGCGTTTTATTTCTTTATCTAGCCTAATTGCTGTGGCTAGGACCTCCAGTACAATGTTGAATAAGAGTGGTGATAAACGGCATCCTTGTCTGGTTCCTGTTCTCAAGGGGAATGCTTTCAAACTCTCTCCATTTGGATGATGTTGGCTGTTGGCTTTGTATAAATGCCCTTAATTATGGTGAGGAATCTCCTTTCTATTCCTATTTTGCTGAGAGTTTTTATCATGAATGGGTGTTGGATTTTGTCAAATGCCTTTTCTGCATCGATTGATAAAATCATGTGGTTCTTGTCTTTTGTTTTATTAATGGATGTATTACATTGATTGTTTTTCTAATGTTGAACCATCCCTGCATACCTGGTATAAATCCCACTTTATCATGGTTAATTATTTTTTCGATATGTCACTGAATTCTATTGGCTAGAATTTTGTTGAGGATTTTTGCATCAATGTTCTTGAGGGATATTGGTCTGTAATTTTCTTTTTTTGGCTGTCTTTACCTGGTTTTGGTATCAGGGTTATGCTTGCTTCATAGAATGAGTATGGGAGTATTCCATCCTTTCCTATGCTCTGAAATACCTTTAGTAGTAGTGGTGTTAAGTCTTCTCTAAAAGTTTGGTAGAATTCTCCAGTGAAACTATCAGGGCCAAGGCTTTTTTTTGTTGGGAATTTTTAAATTATCTTTTCAATCTCTTCTTATGTTATAGGTTTATTTAGTAGTTTACCTCAGATTGTGTTAGTTTAGTAGGTAGTGAGTTTCTAGAAATTTGTCTATTTTCTCTAGGTTTTCAAATTTGTTGGAGTACAATTTTTCATAGTATTTTGTAATGATTCTTTTAATTTCAGTTAGGTTTGTTGTGATATCACCCGTCTCATTTCTTACATGGGTTATTTGCTTCCTCTCCTGTTTTTCTTTTGTCAGTTTGGCCAATGGTTTGTCAATTTTGTTGATCTTTTCAAAGAACCAGCTTTTGGTCTTGTTAACTCTTTCAATTGTTTTTCTGTTCTCTATTTCATTTAATTCTGCTCTAATTCTTATTATTTCCTTTCTTCTTGTGCCTGGGGGTTTCTTTTGCTGCTCTCTTTCTACTCGTCCAAGTTGTAGGGTTAATGTTTTGATTTTGGCCCTTTGTTCTTTTTGGCTGTGTGCATTTATTGCTATAAACTGACCTCTGAGCACTGCTTTTGCTTTTTCCCAGAGGTTTTGGTAGGATGTGTTAAAAATATGGAACACTTCACGAATTTGCATTGTATCCTTATGGAGCTGCCATGCTAATCTTCTCTGTATGGTTCCAATTTTAGTATATGTGCTGCCAAAGCAAGCACTCATAAGGTTTTTGCTGGTTAATTTTTTTCAGAAGTAGACTGCCAGCTCCTTCTTCCTACTCTTTCTTAGTCTGGAAACTCTGCTGAAACCTGTCCACCATGGGTGACTCTGCTGGTATTTGAAATACTAGTGGCATAGCTTCCAGCATCACAGCAACTTGCAAGCCATCACAGTATGACAAACCGACAGACAAGTGCTGGTCTCATAGTTTAGAAGGCTAGAAGTCTGAATACAGGATGCCAGCTGTAGGGGAAAGCTTTCTCTCTCTGTTGGATCTGGAGGAAGGTCCTTGTCGTTTCTGAACTTCTCTTCCTGGGCAATTTTATTGTGGCTTGACATCTCTCTTCCCCAATCTCTCCTCTGCTTGCTTGTTTAATCTCTTTTATATCTCAAAGGAGATTACTCAAGATATACCCTATACTAATCCTGCCTCATTAACATAACAAAAACAACCCATTCCCAAAGGGGATCATAACCACAGGCATAGAGGTTAGGATTTACAACACATATCTTGGGGGACATAATTCATTCCATAACAAATACTACCCAGGTGATTCTGATATGATTCCCCATGTCGCATTGAGAGCCTTCTGACTAATATCAACAGTAGAGTTAGATGATATGACTTCTACTGGAGAGCTTAGGTTATTCATTATTTGATTAGCACTGTGGGTTGCTTTGGTAGCAGGTGTGTGGGCATCACTCTGTATTTTGATTTGACTGTGATAGTTCACAAGATAAACTGCCTTTCAGCATTAGCAAGTCAGGAATGCTGGTGGAGTCTTACAGGCTCTGTGTCTAGCCTGTTTACCGTGTTGCTTGGCCTACAGTGGGCATTCAGTAAATACTTGCTGTAGAAGAAATGCAGAAGTCAGAGCAGCATTTGCCAGGAAAGTCAGGAAAAGACTACTAGGGAGGCTGAGGTCATCCAAGGAGCCATTGCTGTGCTGGTTGACTTTTTCTCCCATGCTGGCTGTGGCCTCTTGGGATCAGCTGAGGTCCTGGCTCACCTTCTCTCCATGGCTCTGTTGCTCACCTTCTGGCTCCAGTGCTAGTAGACTCCCCTGTTTACAGGTGTGCTGTCATGAGCAGGAGTTAGAGCCAGTAGCTCAGAGTGCAGAACCCTGGTCACTTGGTTCCTAAAGTCCTTCAGGGACTCCCTCCAGGTACTCCTTAGCCACATCTGTGCTTCCAGCCTTGTCACTTCAAGGCTGGTAGTTTTCAGAGGTGCCACTGAAAACTGTCCATTCATCCACTTAACGTTCATGCAGCCATCTACTCTCCTTGTGTTGACTTGCAGGTTAGTTGTCTCTGCTGAGCACGTCCATCAATCTGAATCTATCTTCTTTCTGTCTTCCAGAAATTTTGCAAAATGCCTGGCCTCTAGATAATAGTCTTTTCTGTTCTTCTCAATGATGCTGGGATCTTTTCCTTGTTTCTGTGTAATTTGTGTAGTTTCAAAGCACTTTTGTGTGAGCACAAATTTTTTTTATCTTGAAAACTGATTTTAAATGTAAGTTTCTGTGTCTAAATCAGAGGTTGCAGGCTTATGGACTGTAGAGCAAATGTGGCCTCAGACATAGTTTGCTGTCCAGCATAATATTTTAAATTTTTTTATATTTGAGCAAAAGTTTGGAATCACACAGCAGGAGATTTGACTGATGTTCACCAATATCGTGTTAATTTCCTCTTCTGCTCCTGAGGGTGACTATGCCTAAACCCTTGCAATTGAAAAGGACCATGGGACTAGTATTGGCCAGTGAAATGTGAGCAGAAGTTTTCTCTGTCACTTCCGGGCTGTTCTCCAGTCCTTCTTCCCCTGTAGCAGCAATTAAGGGGGCCATGTATCTGAGATGGGGTAGCTACAAGATGGTAGATTCCCAAGTTACTGTTGACCCACGTGAGCCACAAATTTTTGCCGTGTTAAGACACTTGTTATTGTTGTTTGGTACCCTCAAGACGATTTTGACTCATAGCAACCCCATGTGACAGAGTAGAATTGCCCCATAGGGTTTCCTTGGCTGTAATCTTTACTGGAGCAGACAGCCAGGTCTTTCTCCAGCAGAGCTCCTGGGTGGGTTGGAACTGCCAATCTTTCAGTTAACAGACATGCTTTTAACTGTTACACCACCAAATAATCAGAATAGACTAAGTTACATTGTGCTGAAAAACAGATTTCAAGATCTTAGTGTCTTAACATTTGTTTTATGAACCTGCATTTTCATTTCTCTTGTTAGGAATTGCTGGGTCATAAAAGAGTTATAGGCTTAGTTTTATAAGAAACTATCAGAAATGTCCATAAAACATTTTGTATCTTTTTTGTTCACTTAGTACAGCAGCATTTTCCCATACCCTTAAAGATTACACAAGAACAGGATGTTTAATGGCTCTGTAATTTCATCATATATTTAAGTACCATAAGTCTGTTGAACTGAGACTGTGTTGTTCAACATTTAGTTGGAAACTATAAGTAATGCTGTGATAAGCTTCATTGTGTTGATCACAATGAAACAGATTTCTTTTTTAAAAAAATAGTCTTTATTTGCAGATGACATGATTGTTTACATAAAAAAAACCTAAAGAATCTACAAAACAACTACTACAACTAATGAATGAACTTAACAAGATCACACAAATATAACTATTCAAAAATCAATTTTATTTTGTGTACTAGTAGCAAACACACAAAAAAATAGAGCCATAGCTCTTAACCACTGCACGACCAGGGCTCCATAATCATGAGTAGCACTAGTGAAATTTGATAATCAACGCCAAACACAATGAAACTCATTACAGCATTGTTTGTGGTTTACAACTAAATGTTGAACAACAGGCTATCAGTTCAATAGACTTATGGTACACAAACACACTTATGGTACATAAACATATGATGAAATTATGGAGCCATTAAAAATCTTGTTCTTGTGTAATCTTTAAGGGTATGGGAAAATGCTACCGTATTAAGTGAAAAAAAAGGTAAAGTGTTTATGGATATTTCCAATAGTTTCTTACAAAACTAAGCATATAACTGTTTTATGACCCAGCAATTCCTCACAAGAGTCATGCAAATGCAAGTCCATAAAACGTGTTAACACACTAAGATTTTGAAATTGTTATTTTGTGTATTTTGTGTACAAGTACAGAAGGGAGCCCTGGTGGTGCAGTGGTTAAGAGCTTGGCTGCTAACCAGAAGGTCAGCAGTTTGAATCCACCAGCCGCTCCTTGGAAACCCTACGGGGCAGTTCTACTCTGTCCTATAGGGTTGCTATGAGTTGGGTTCAGCTCGATGGCAACGGGTTTTTTTTTTTAGTAGCAAATACTTGAAAATGGAATTAAATAAAACAGTTCAATTCAAACTGAATGATACATATAAAAAATGTTGAAATGGAAATTGTTTTATTATATATATACTTGCCACAATGAAAAAGTCATATGTAGTAAATAAAAATTAAATTGAAATTAAAAAACATGTACATATGTACATACATATAGATATATACATGCTTAGAATTTAATTTCTGAAAAGCAAAGACATCCAAGACTTCTACATTAAAAGTTATAAAACTTTGCTGAGAGAAATTGAAAAAGATCTAAATAAATGAAGAAATTTACCATCTTCATGGATTAAATACTTGATATGGTTAATATGGCAATTCTCCCCAGATGGATCTATAAAGCTGTTGCAACATAATTCCAATCATAATCCTACCAGGATTTTTATAGAAATTGACAAACTGATTATAAAATTTATAGAGATATGCAAAGGACTTAGAATGCCCAAATAAATCATAGAAAGGAAGAAAGAAATTGGAAAACTTAAACTGTCTAACTTTAAGACTTAAAGTCAAGACAATACGTAATGGTATAAGGATCAACAAATAGATCAATAGAATAGAACATACAGTCCATTGTTGTCGAGTCAATTGCAACTCACAGCGATCCTATAGGACAAAGTAGAACTGCTCCGTAGGGTTTCCAAGGCTGTAAATCTTTACGGAAACAGACTGCCACATCTTTTACCCGTGGAGCGACTCGTGGGTTCATACTGCCTACTTTTCACTTAGCAGCCAAGCATTTAACTACTGCGCCACCAGGGCTCCTTAGAATACTACATAGGGCCCAGAATTAGATCCACATTTAGAGTCATTTGATTTTGGGCTAAGGTGCCAAAGCAATCCAAAGGGAAATTTTCTTTTCAACAAATGGGCCTAAAATAACTAAATACCCATATGGAAAACAACGAACATTGACTCCTTACCTCATACCATACACAAAGACTAATTCAAGATGGATCATAGACCTAACTGTAAAAGGTAGAATTATAAAGCTTCTAGAAGAAAACTGGAGAGGTTATCTTTGCAACCTGGGGGTAGGCAAACTTTCTTTTGGACAGGGCACAGAAAGCAATGACCACAAATGAAAAATAACTTGATAGATTTACATCACAATTAAAAACTTCTGATCATCAAAAACCATTATTTAAGGAAACTTACATTTGAAAAACAAGTATCTGACAAACTCAATAACAAAAAATCAAACAATTAAATAAATGGGAAAAAGGTGTGAACAAGTACTTCACAAAGGAAGATATATACATATATGCATATAGTTAATAAGCATATAAAAAGATATTTAACATGATTAGCTAACAGGGAAATGTAAATTAAACCGAAAGGAAGTATTACTACATGCTCACTAGGGGGGCTAAAATTAAAAAGACTGACATCACCAAGCGTTGGTAATGATGTGGATACATTGTTGGTGGGAGTATAAAACGGTGCAACCACTCTGAAAACATTTCTGATAAAACTAAGCATATAACTATTTTATGACCCAGCAGTTCCTCACAAGAGAAATCAAAATGCAAGTCTGTAAAACAAATTGTACAAGAACATTCATAATAGGCTTATTCATAATAAGCAAAACCTGGAAACAGCCCATGTGTCCATCAACAGGAGAATGGATAAACAAACCGTAGTGTATTCATACCACAAGTACT